AGCAGTACTTTTACGAGATTTTTATTTCTTCTTCAGCATGTTCACTGCAGGCATTACAGGAGGTGACTATTAAAAACCACGAAGCCATCAAGGAAGCCAACCACACTTGCCAGTTCCTGCCTTACCCTGGCAAGGGTGTTGCAGGATCCAGAAAATATGACTGCCCGTTGCACTCTGAGTTCACAGAGGAGGAGAGCGATGTCACGGTTCCACGGGCAGATCAAAAACCCGCGGAGATAGCAGCCACCTTGACACTCACTCAGCTTAAGTGCCCCCTCTTCCAGGAAGCCTTCCCTGCCCCAACTCCTCTTCTGGATGGCAAAGCACCCCCTTCCTCAGTGCTTTGCCTCATCACAGCACTTGCAATGGCAACTGGTGTTCTAAGCTAACATGTTTGTCTCCTCTACTAGACTGTAGGCATCTTGCAGGCAGGGGCCATGTCTTAGGGACCTTTGTACTCAGAGACAGGCTCCAGTAGAGTATCCAGCACTTGGCCAGGGGTTCTCAGCAGACTGTGCTGGCTTGACCCTTCCAGGCATGTCCTAATAATGCTTGAGCATTGCATTGGCAGCCCTTCAGGCAGAGCATGAAACCCCACCCCGAACCCCACCCTCCCCCCAGCATCCTCACCTACTTCCACCCCCAGCTCAGTAGGGGTCTCTCTGAGAATTTCTCTAAGGATATAATCTCTACAGCCAGGCCTCTTAGGTTCAATTCCTGTCTCTGCCACTTTCTAGCGATGTGATCTCGGGCAAGTTATTTAACCTCTTTATGTCTCTGTTTCTTCCCTGAAAAATAGAGATAATATCTCAGAGGGTCTTGTGAGGAATAAATGAGTTGATCTATGAGAAACACTTGGAACAGGGTCTGACCCATAGCAAGTGCTCAGTGAGTGCTGGAATTATTATTTCCCAAACCTATTACTTCACAGAACCCCCACCTGCCTCCTGCAGCTTCCATTCTTATCTACATATTGCGCTCCCCCATTAACTGTTTCTCCAGGACCAATGTTAGCATTAACACAAAGTCATTCAATCCCTCCTCACTGATTTCGATCCTCCCTGCACCCCATCGCCACCAGCTTATAGGGCAAATTCTCCAAAGACAAGGGAGAGGAGTTGGTTCCACTCAATAGGGCTACAAATGCTGAGTCATTATGCCCCCAGCTATGCCTCTCAATCCTCACCCTTAGCATTTCAGGCTCCCCAGCTCCCCACTGTGCGATCCCCTCTGCTCATAATTTAAGAGTTCTCACCCCACCCCATCTCACCCCTCCAAAAGCCAGCCTCAGCCTCTATAGTTTTTACCAAAGATGTTCCTTAACAATAAGGAGGCTCAGAACATTAGCACCCGTGTGCAGAAATAATAATAATGGCGTCTAAAGAATGCTTACTCTTTGTCCGGCATACATGTTAGGTCACCTTGAACGCTTTGTAGAGCTGAGAAACTAAGGCACTTAGAGTCATAGAGGAAGACAGAGAGATGGGGTTCTAACTGGGGGTATATAATTTCAGACCCTATACTCTAAACTACTAAGCTATTGGAAATGGGCACCAAGTGGCCGGATTGCCTCCTGGGAGTGGAAGTTAGGCCAAGGGACCTGAAATTTTTTTATCCCACCAATCATTCCTCAATGAAAAGGGAGTTTATGTTTACAGGTATTGCTATCATATTTATCATCATGACATGTTTTAAAGATAAGAGCAGGCTGGCCGAGGGGCTCAGTTGGTCAAGAGCTCGCTCAAGAGTTTGAGCTCTGAGCAACAGCGGTTCGATGCCCGGCCCGTGCTGAGCTGCCACTGAGCTGCCAACAGGTGGCAGGATGGCTCAGCTAAAAAAATAATAATAATAAAAGTTAAAAACAAAAAGATAAGAGCAATCAATGGCTGCGTTGTGAGTCCATATATTGCTCTGACACATCAGAAGTACTTACTGGGAGCCTGGAAGCAGAAGGGATCAGAGAAGCGCTGAGTGAGCCAATACAACCAGCATCCTAAACTCACCAACCTGTGGCAGGCAGGGCAGCGGCGGACAGACAAGTCCTGGCCACTGAGGAATTTGAATCTTTACTCACTGCCACAGGACCCTTACATTCCACCAAGAAAACTTCCAAGTCTTAAGGCAGGGGCCACTGGACCACCGTGTCTCCAAGGCCCTTTATGGCTCTTACATCTCATAAGTGTAAGAGCCAACAAAACGGGTGCATCACCTCCTCCAGGCTACCTTGTATAGTCACAGGTGATCCCCATCTGACTCCCAGCTTCCTGCCCGCAAGGCTATAGAATGCTTCTGCCTATCTCGCTCATGGCCAGGATGGGAATAATCCATCAGGCTGAGTAAATGTAGGAAGCTCTACAGGAAGAAATAAGTGTGAGTGGTACTATATGCCAAACACTGTGCTTCCTAGGTAAACAAAGAAAAATCCCCGTGAGCTACCCTTGTCTGGGGGCATTTGAGTCTAAGAAGGGTTTCTTAATATCAAGGCAAAGACGTTGCAAGTGGCAGATTCTACCAAAGACTCTTCCATATCCCCAGTAAGTGTAGATGCCACAAACACCTAAGCAGCAGCCGGGCCCCAGAGAGTTTTGACTACGGAAGAAATGGCAGGCCAGGTCGCCTCAGGGATGCACTGGGGATGGTGATAATCACCTTCTGGCCCCCACTTGCCTTTTAAAGTCTAGAGGGATCTAAGAAACCTACAATACCTAGACCCTGGCCTTGGACAACTCTGCCCCAAGACATCCTCAAGAGAAAGCGAGTCTTTCACACTTCAACTCTCCACCGAAGCACCTTCTCTCACCTCAACCCCTTTCCCCCCAAGAATGAGCTGGGACTCTTAAAGTTCCTGGCTCTTCTACCCAGCTGAAACACCAGAATATCCCTCCCTTACCCTAATCCCTGTCTTTAATTCAATAGCCCTGAGGCCCTGGCCCAGTGTCCAGAGCCTTCCCACCACATAGACAGCAGAATCAGCCCCTGGAGAAAGGCCTCCATCGGCCCCGTCTGCCCCATCCTGGCTAGCTATAGGGAGCTGGAACCTGGTCCAGAGTTCACAGGTCTCCATGGCCACAAGCCCGAAGTGGCACTGGAAGGTCATGAGAAAAGACTTCTTGAGAAGCCTGCTCTTCATACCCTAGGATCACTTATTGACTGGCCACAAAGGAGAGAACCATTCTGAAGAACCTAGGCTGAACCACAGACTCTAGATTAGGGATCCCAGGGGTCCCAGTTCTAAACATAGTAGTCCACTGATACAGCATACAAAACATGTCCCTGCACACACATGCATGTTTCTGAGGAGGCAGGGGGAGAGTTTTCATCTGGTTCTCAAAGGGGCCCATGACCCCAACCTCTGGCCCCAAGTTTCCCCCCAGTCATCTTATCTCTAGGCCACCCTAGCTGTCCAAGGTCTCTCTCCTATTCAAGGATGTGCCCAGGCCTGAGGCACCACTCCGGTTGCCTTGTCTCCTGCTCCTTCCAGCTACAGAAAGTGGACGGGAGTGTCAAACCAAACCTTCCTGCCAACACCCTCCAGCTTCCTGGTGACCTGAACCAGGTTTCTCTCTTTATCTCAGAGGTGCCACCCTCCAATTCAAATTAAGGTCCTGAGGGCATCGACCCCCAACAGCAGAGAAGGCCCAATTTCACCTTTAATCCCACAGGGGCTAAATCTCATAGTGAGATGACTTCTTGCATCAGAGAATTCATTCTGTGTCCCTCACCGCCTTCAGGCACACCTAGCTAACTCTGCCCAGGCTGTAAGGAAGAGCAAGCCTGGCAAAAGGAAGAGATACAAGGTCCAGAAAAATCTCCGAGTCCTTTCTCCTGGGCCAGGGGGCTCAGGGTGCAGCAGGATAACCAACAGAGAGGCTTGTTCCCCAGGCCCCACTATCCAGCATCCTAGGTGATTGATGTTCCTGTCTAGGGGAAGGCGGGGAGTGAGATGGTCTTCTTGTATCCTTCTCAACTCCCAGTCATTACCCTCGCCCTCCACTCTCAAAAAGGAAGGAAGGGAAGGAGGGAAGAAGGGAGGGAGGAAGGAAGAAAGGAAGGAAGGAAGGAAGGAAGGAAGGAAGGAAGGAAGGAAGGAAGGAAGCAATCTAGAGGGAAGGAAGGAAGGAAGGAAGGAAGGAAGCAATCTAAAACCTTCCTTCCCCTAAAACAAATTCCTCTCCAGGAATTTAATTTCAGTGTACATTTCTTGGAGCTAAAACTTCTTTTAAGGGGAAAAGAAATGGGCAAGCCAGTGCTAGGTGTAAGGAAACAATGCAAAGAAAAAATGAAGAGGAAAGAATAAATTAAAGCGAACACAACCCCCCCCCAGAGCTTAGAGCCCCGGGCACAGAGAGCCGGAGGGGCGTGGGAGCAGGGGCGGGGACAGTGCGTCCTGAACTTTCCCTAACCGAGACGTCGGGAGATGCAGCTCCCAGGGGACCGGGTGGGACCAGAACAGGCTGAGGCGACCTGTGACATCGGCCGGGGCAGGAAGCGAACCTCCCCTCCTCCTAAAAGGAGCTCTGTCCGCAGCAGGCGCCCCCGCCAGCCATCGCCAACGAGCCAGCGCCCCAAGGCCCGAGCAAAGCGGGGAGGGGCGCATACACAAAAGGGGGAGCGGCAGGAGAAGGGGCTCCGGGCGGCGCGGGCTCGCGGAGGCCTCGCTGCCTTGCCCGGCACCGCCTGCCGGCGCCCACCCCTTAAACCCGCGCGGCTCTCCCAGCCCCCAGATGCCAGCACGCCCCGCGCGCCTATAGCCCGGAATGAGGTGGGGGCTCCGGAGGGAAGCGAGGCTGGGACCGGCCGCACGCGTCTGGGCGGCGCGGGCTCCGGGGAAGCCGCGGCAGCAGCACCGGGAATCAAACTCGCGCCGGCCCGGCCCTCCCGGCGGCTCCTCGGCCATCGGTGCCCGAGAAGGTGGGGCCGCCGGCCCCGGGCCGGAGCCGGGAAGGCGCGTTGGGCAGCCGACTAGCGCCGCGGTTGGGGGCGAACGGCGGAAATCTTACCGAGCAGCCGCCACGCGCGTCCGCGCCCTGCGGGCCGGTGGGGCCGGCAGGCTGGGGGAGGGGAGGCAATCCCGCGGCGGCGGCGGCGGCGGCGGCGGGCCCGGCGCGGCCGCGCAGCTGGGGAGCAGGAGGCGGAGAACGCGAGGCGAGGCCAGCTTCCTAGCGGCGGGCGGCGAGAAATGCAGCTGTCCCTGCGCGCCTGCCGGCGGGGCCACAAGTGGGGCCGCGCGGGGAGGAGCGGGCTGCGGGCGGGGCGGGGGCCCGGCGGCGGCGCCCCCAGACCCTCTCCGGATGCCCGACCCCCTTCGAGAGAAGCGGGCAGCCGGAATGGGGTCCGCAACCAACACGGTGGCAGGGGCTGAGGGACGCCGGGTGAAAATCAGGAAAATCCCCGCCGTGCCCACCCCCGCCCCCCGCACCAGCCGCAGTGACTCCCCAGCAGGCGGGCAGGAGGGCGTGAGCGAGGAGCCTCGGTCTCCAGGGCAGAGCAGGGTGCCGGGCGTTCTGCCCCTCCAGTCTCGGGGAGCGGCGCCAGGAAGGCGCACCCGCGAGAGGGTGGGGCGGGGATACCGGAGACCTCGGCTCCGAGGGGAACCGAAGAGCAGGGTTGCCCCAAGAGGGTTCCGAATGTAGACGCACATCTGGGGCCTGGGACAGCTGAGATGCCCTGGGAGGTGGGGCTCAGGGAACAAAATGCTCAGGTCAGAGGAGATGGTAGGGAGTAGGTCAGGAAATCAAAGCTATTACCCACTCACACCATTAGATACCTGCCATTTCATCTCCTCCCCAACATCCCTGGCCATTTCAGGGGCTTCTGCGACCTGAGATTTTCCATAGAAGAACTTGTTCAATAAATGAGAAATCAACTTTCGCTATTCTTTTTCTATGTGGTTTGGTTTCAAACTACACTTGGAGGGTGGTGGGTTGGTGGGGCAGGTGGTGATCATCAAGCACCCTGCTTGGAAGATGAGCTCCCTAGGGGATCTGAGGAGGGTGACGGCCAGAATATACAGTTCTAGCTCTGCCCCCAGAACCCTTGCAAAGGATCTGCGCCCTCCTGCTGGGCAAGCCTGCCTTAGAGACCCGCTTGCCCATCTGAGCAGAGACCCACTGGGAAGAGGCCCTCTTTGAGAGCTTGCAATTGCCTAGGTCTCCTAAGACAAATCAACACTCTGCAGCCACACAGGCATCTGATGGTAAAAACCACAAACCAAAGCACCCAGACACCAATGTGTTTCCATCATTTGCATGTCAAGGGTAAGCTTCCGCAGCAAATTGGGAACCTGGGAGGGGGAGAAACCTTAGAACCACACCCTCCTTGGGGAGGCCCCAAATTAGGTCAGTGTGTTGAGTGGAGCTCCAGGACTGGGTTCCCAGACCCCTCTGGGGACCTCCTCTCTCCCACCCTCCTTCTGGTGTGTGTGTGGGGGGGAGCCTTGAAACCCTAGGAGGTGATCCCCTAAACCCTAGCTTAAAGATTTTTAATCTAGAGGGACTGACCCATGCCTTCATGCTGATTCCTGGCCTGAAATTGTAACTGGTCAGGATTTATCCTATTGCCAGTCATCTAGATCATGGTATTATGTGTGTTACCTTACACTTGCCCACAGTGCACCTCATCTGCCACTTTTCTGCTTACTTGCAAGATCCCTCTGCAGTTCCTCCCTGTCACCTAGGCATTTTGGGGACCCGGCAAATGCATCTGCAGACTTGGACTTGGAGAGGTCCCTGTTTGTACTCGCCTCCAAGTGCTCATAAAAGCATTCAATACATTATTAATACAGTTATCAAGTGAAACCAGTCACTGTAATAGATGCTCTTCCTTGAAGAGCTCTTCTTGAATGTTGCTAACATACTCTTCCTTGCAGAGCTGTCTTCCTAGAAGCCTTCCTCAGGCCCATTTCCCGCCTCTCACACACCCACTCGGTAACCTCCCTCACTCCCACCATGGCCCCTGAGCTGAAAGTTCCCAGAGTCCCAGGATCCCAGGGTCCCAGGCCAGACCTCCCTCCTTTGCTCCAGCCCCTCACACACAGCTGCCTACAGAAGCTCTCCACCTGCAGTTCCCTTGGACACCTCACACACAAGAAGGCTAAAAGCAAACTTGGAGCCTTCCCTCCCCAAGCCTCCTCCTCCTCCTCTGGCTTAGCTGGAAACCTCAGTGTCCCTTCCCCTGCATCTTATCGGTAATTAGGTCCTATTCATTCCTCCTTCACTTCCCTCTGCTCCCTTATTCTCCCAGCTTCTGCTCTGGTTCAGGCCCCTATTGTCTCTGTTCATCTCAGAGGATGAGATGTCTCATTTGCTTTCAAGGCCAACCCTCCTGTTTGCTTAGAGTCAAGAGACTCTATCAGTTCTTTCTCCTCCTCTCTCTGCTTCAGACCTACAAACACTATAGGTGCCCCCTTCTAAGGAACCCTTACCCCAACCCTGCCCTGTCCTCAAGCCATTGTCCTAGTTCTGTCTTGTCCATTCATCATAGACTTCCTCTAAGAAACCACACGTACTGTCTCTGCTTCTTCATTCCCCATTTAATCCTCAGTCTCCTGCAATCCAGCTTTCTCCCCTGTCATTCCAGGGACCGCTCACAGCAGGAGGCACCAGTGGCTCCTGATCCGTTCAACCCATGGGCTTCCTCCCTACCCTGTTCCTTGGCCCCCTTGCAGCCCTGGATACACTTAACACCTCCGTGGAACGACTCTCACCCCTATGGCTGGCTTCCGACCCTCTTGGTTTTCCTACCAACTCCTTCATTTCTTCAGCTCTGCCTGCTTGGAAAATGAAATGTAAACACCTTAGAGAGGCCCTTCCCAGCCTGCCCTTAGCTTATGATCCAGCCCCTCCCCTTTCCTGTGCTCTCCCCACCTGCTTACCCCCAGGCTAGAACAGCTAAGACCACTTGCGGTTCCCACAAAGTACATGGGAAGCGGAGAAAAGCCTCTTGCTAAATCTCTAGCTACATTAAGCACAAATAGTTGGGGGCGTGTCCGCCGTCACCTCCACCATGAGGCTGAGGCTGATGGGGAGCTATAGGGCTCAGGCTTGAAAAGAGTGGGTTCCACTGGACCACAGGGAAAACAGGACATTTCCCTTTTGGGATTTCCCCCAGCCCAGGACAAATGCCCAGGCACAAATGGTGGACAAGAGCACGTGGCTGCAGCTTTGGAACCAACCACATTGTCACAGTCACCAGGAGACCCTCTCCTCCTCCTTGAACCACCAAAGGCAGCTGAACAAGGCCCAGGGTGGAAAAGGAAGTGGTGTAAACATCCAGATAATTTGGATAATCCTATTCCTTTCTCCATCTTCACCGATTTGACAGAGAAACTCAGAGGAAAGTTGGAAGGAAGTACTATCACTTGAGGTTTGAAAGAACACATAGGTGAAATGTGGAAGCAGTGACACCCCCCCCGCAGAAATGAGTAAACGACCCCCTTCTGGGACACTAAATAGATGGCTGGCTGTGGAATTAAGAATCTCAGTTTCAGCTGGTCTCTCTGTGTGTACCAGGGAGATAGGGGGTGTCTTCTGTCTCAGTGCCTGAACCTCCCAATCTAAGGCCTGGCAGGAGTGAATAAATATTTGCCAAAGGGCTGACTTCTGTCAGGTGGGTGAGATGTGCCTGGTTAGTCCTCACAAAACCATGTGTCTTCCCTTCACTGGTAATAGTTTGTGAGGCTCCAGGGGTCCTGCCCTCAGTACAGAGGCTGCCAGCTTGTCCTGTACAAGATGGTGGGTCAGAGAGAAGGCGTAGATAAATGGAATTCCCTGTAACCATTAAAATTGCTTTTAAAGAATATTTAATGCCTATAAAAATGTTACGATATGTTACGGGAAAGCGAGGCTACAAACCAGTATATGTAATATGAGCCCATTTATTTTTATTTAGTTGTAAACATAGAAAAAAATATGCCAACATGTTACCAATTGTTAGATGAGGGCTTTATAGATACCTTTGACTTTGTTATTAATATTTTCCCAGTTTCCTCTGTTGAACATACGCTCCTTTATAATTGTATGTATATGTGCTTATATTTAACCTTCAAGGTCATTATGATTGGAAGGAGGAAAGTTAAACATAACTAACTTTCTTCCATAATTATGTTTAACTTAGACTAGTTCCATACTGAGACCCCCAATAATGGATGATATGTAGCCCCCCTCACCCTCCAAGTCTGAGGGGAAGGGAGATGTGGAGCAGCTAGTGCGTAATACACGGCAGAGTGTGACACTTACTAAAATCAAGGTATACGCAGAGGACTCCGGAGCTGCAAGGGGAGGAAGTGGTTAATTCTTACTGGGGAAGGTCAGAGAGGGCACCTTTGAAGAGCTGGCTTTTGAGCTGTGCCTTGGGAGATGAAAGGAGTGTAACTGGGGATAAGGGCATTCCCATCTGGGGCCACAGAGTAAGCGAAGGCATATTTGGATGTGAGTGAATATGCACTGTGGCCAGAGTGCAGGGTGGATGGCAACAGCAGGGGCGGGTGGTGGGGGGAGGGGGTGACACAGGCAGATGAGGTTGGAAAGGTGAGAAGGATGTGATAGTAAATGGCCTGGAACACCAAACAAAGGAATCTGCAGAGAAGCAGTGTGTTTACAGGCTCAGGCCTGAATTCAAAACAGAATATTAACACTGACTTTGACTTTCCTGACACCACCAAGGGCTGAGGCCATGTGGTTCCTGGGTCCTGCACCGAACCAGTTCCTGGGGAAAGGCAGCCTGGAGTTAAGCATTTGCTACAAATAGTTCACAGAGGCTGGAGGCTCAACCCCAGCTTAGAGCAGCAGGTTCCTTCTTCCTCCCCAACTCTTTCTAAACCCATTAAGTACAGTGTGGTGGCTTCATGCCAATCAGAGCAGGGGACAAATAAATCCCTGTTGTACCTGCTTACAAGCTGGGTGAATTGCTTAACCTCTCTGAGTCTCGGTTTCCTCATCTCTAAAGTGAGGATAAGAATATCCCCTTTCTCCTCACTAGAGGACAAACAGTAATAACAGTGATAAAGTTTTTTGAACATTTGCAATGTGTCTGGCCCTGTTTTAAGCCCTTTTGCACATTTTATGTCATTTAACCTTCAGAAAAACCCTACGAGGCAGGCATGATTACCATTTCTATTTTATAAATATGGAAACCGACACACAGGGAGGTAAAAAATGTGGCCCAAGGTCAACAATAACCCAGTCCATGACTTCAGAGCCCAGACACTTCACCTGGAGACCACAATTACAATAATTATAATAGGCAAACACAAAATGCTTACTAGCCAGTTAACATTTACATTGTTAACTCATTCGCTCCTCGGTTACCTTGTGGTAGATATACTGTTTAGGCCCTGTTTACAGGTTAGGAAACTGAGGCACAGAGAGATTAAGTACCTTGTCCACGCTGCTTTGCAGAGCCACGTTTTTTTGGGGTTTTTTTGCAGGAGTTCAGGTGGTCTGGCTGCAGAGCCCGCTCTTCCTCCTCACTCTCATCCACTCTATGAAGGATGCCTGCTTTACTTATTGTCATTCTTATCATTCCAAGGAGGCCTGCCTGCAATCAATTCAGTCCAGATGTTCAGCTCTGGTTCTTCTTAGGGACGAAGATCCATAGAGGAGGGTGGGGTTGGGGCAGGATGAACGCTCCTGAGTGGGACTTGCGGAGCAAGACCACAGGTGGGGAGGCCCCTGGGTTTGAGTGTACTGGGGAGGGCTCCTTCCTGCTTGGAAGGAGGGGCCCTTTGCTGGGCCAGTAAATGGCCAGGGAAGGAAGGAGAGGAAGCTGGCATTACCTCATTGGCCCGGCCCCTGAGCGGGGCTCTGGGCACTAGTGG